AAAAAAAATCATCTATATCAGGAAAGCTTTATCTTTATTTATGTTCCTCTTCAGTATACAATTATTTCATCCTTAAAATAGATATAACAACCTGACTTTACATATCTCCTTTGAACTATTTTTCCCATTGCCACTGAGTTTCTCAGAGAATAGATCTTGATGGAAGATAGGAATTGAATTTCTGTCTTATTATTAGAATATCAGATTTGTAAACTTTCTTGCTCTCAGTTATTACTGGTGATCATTGCTAAAGTTGCAACCACTGGTTCAACTGTCCTTTGTTTGCTAGTTTGAAAGTTTGTGATCATGTTTCATACCTTGCTATAGTTAGGGTTTAACTATTCACTGCTGTTTTCAGTGTTTTAAAATGTAACAGTACACTCTTAACATTTTAATTTTTCCCATGTATTTTTTGTTTTTTTTTTTTACAGTACTCTGTGCAAAAAACCTGGTGAAAAAGGATTTTTTCCGTAAGTAAATTAACTTTAAATCTTGTGTATTGTATGTAGATCTTTGGGAACAGGATTTTCAGAATTCTCTGGTTTAGGGGTTTCTCTATTCAGAAATATCGTCAGTGTTATTTTATTATGAATGCTTTGGTTCAGAGACATTTGGCATCATTTTTTTTTTTAGAAGGTTTTGTGCTTTTTAGCCTTAGCCTTTTCCTTTTAACCTCTCCCATGTATTTATGAGAATGTGTGTATATGCAGGTATGTAGATGCAGATGTGTGTAATGTATATTGAAGGTGTGCATACTACTAGAATCCTAGGAAAGGTTTAAGAGATTATTTTGTGAACACTTTTTTCCTTTTGAAAATTTCATAGGAAGCTGTATTCATTCAGGATTCATTGGAAGGTGGAAAAGTCGTTGAGCCTGCTTGGAATTTCCAGAGTGTAGTAAAGAAATCTCTGCCACACTTGATCCTAGATGCTCTTACGTCTCAGATTCCAAAGCAGATGTTTGGTTCCCATATGTGCATTATATTTACCAGTCTGTTGTGATTTTTTTTTTTTTTCTGGCTTTATTTAGTACTAAGTTTTGTGAGAGGGGATTGGGAATTACCCAGCATGTATATTAACAATCTTTATTCTGTTGTAGCTCTAAATTATTGGTTAAAAATGATACAATTTTTAGTAAAAAAAAATAATAATAATAATAACAAAAAAACACAACTTCAGCCAACAACGCTTTGTATGTAAAATATTTGAAATTAGAATAGAGACGATTCATTAAATTTTTAAATTCAAGTCACAGGCTATGTGTACTGTTTGATTTCATGTGATAGTAGATGATTTTTGGGGGTTTGATTAAAAGAAATGAGCTATATATATATATTTTTTCTTTTTAGAGACAGAATCTTGCCCTGTCAGCCAGGGTATAGTACAGTGGCATAGTCATTGCTCACTGCAGCCTCAAACTCCTAGGCTCAAGGGATCCTCCTACCTCACCCTCCTGAGTAGGTGGACTGCAGGCACACTTCACCACGCCCAGCTAATTTATTTATTTATTTACTATTCTTTGTAGGGACAGGGTCTTGCTGTGTTGCACAGGCTGGTCTCAAACTCCTGGCCTCAAGTGATCCTCCTCCTACCTCAGCCTCACAAAGTGCTGGGATTACAGGTGTAAGCCACTGTGCCCGGCCAGTATATTTTAAAGTTACACTTAATTCATTCCACTTGAAATTTTATTATTTTGAGTTTTTCTAGAGCAGAACTTAAAGTTTATAAAATAACAGCTTATAAAACTATATATTTATGAATATTTATGGTTATCTTTCTGCTTACATAAGAAAGCAAATAGGATAATTTGGAACATAGGATGAAAATTATAAGCAGTTTAAATTTGTGTACCATGTGCCTTGTCCCCAGAAGCTTGCCACAGTAGAAGGTCCCAGTGGCCACAGAACTCCCCATCTCTCCCTGTTGCCGCCAATCACTGTTGTCTCTGAGGCTTCTGCTCACTTCCTACCTCATCCCTGTTGCTACTAACTGAGGTGTACTTTTTTTTTTTTAAACGAGACCAGGCCTGCTGCAACACAGCAAACCTGTCCACAAAGAATAGAAAATAAAAAATAAATTAGCTGGCGCGTGGTGAAGTGTGCCTGCAGTCCACCTACTCAGGAGGGTGGACGTAGCAGGATCCCTTGAGCCTAGGAGTTGAGGCTGCAGTGACAATGACTATGCCACTGTACTACTACCCTGCTGACAGGGCAAGATTCTGTCTCTAAAAGAAAAAATATATATATAATAGCTCATCTTCTTTTAATCAAACCCCCAAAAATCATCTACTATCACATGAAATCAAAACAAGTACACATAGCCTGTGACTTGAATTAAAAAATTTAATGAATCATCTCTATGTCTAATTTCAAAATTTTACATACAAAGCGCTGTTGGCTGAAGTTGTGTTTTTGTTATTATTATTATATTTTTTTGT